TAGATTTTAAATCTATTTTTAAATTACAATGCCACAGAATATTGGGATATTGGCGACGCATCGTTCCGTTGCCTTCACTGTGGCGCAAGATTTGGTACTCTGAGCGATTGGGCAAACCATATAAACCTAGAGTCCCTAAGTATTCTGGTTTCTGTAACCACGGATTCATCAAACTTCCACCCGTTTACACTCCTCCCCCCTTTCTGCGTGAGCTGATTTTTGGGTCAGGTCCACAGAGTAAGCGCTTTCAAGAAAACATTCGGTCTTACAACAACATGTTCTGCTTTACATCCATGGGGGGAAAAATTGATACCGATATAAACAAGGGAATCGGCCCACCCGTCTTCCGTTTGCACGGTCAGAACTACCATTTAATGGGTAGTTTGCTACCTGACCATGGGGCCCCTCCGAAATTTGCTCAATTGTACATCTATGACACAGAGAACGAAGTACCAAACCGATTGTCTTCTGTGAGGTATATATATATATATATATATATATATATATATATATATTATATTTTAGCATTCAAAATTGAGTACTTATTTTGTCTTCATTGCGTTTAACATTATCTTTACTAATTCAATATAATTTTTTCTTTATGTTAGGAGAGGTTCTGAAAGGAATAACCTAGATGAGGATGTAGTTCATGGTTTAAAGGAGCTACTCGATCATTACAATGTTTTAGTAAAGTCGTTCAGGATGGTGCGGGAGACGGTGAACCAGCACCAGCAAATTGAAGTTAAGATGCGTCTTATCGGTAGAAGGAACAAGGATGGTCGGCGTTATAGTTTACCCTCCACTTCTGAAGTTTCCGCCTTAGTAGTTGGGGATTTCGATGATGCTCTGGGCAGCAGGGATATTATAGTAAAAAATCGGAGCGGACGTCTGCAGTGGATAAACGAGTTGAACGCTTCCTACTTGGCTCTCCATAACCCTATTCTTTTTCCATATGACGAGGATGGTTATAGGGAGGACATTTCATTCTCCTGCCTAAAACCGATCACGGAGAGGTCGAGGAAATTTATCAGCCCGTTGGAGTTCTTCAAATATCGAATGCACGATTGGGACTGCGAATTGTCGTCAATTCTTTTCGCTCGGAGGTTGTATCGGCAGTTTGTTGTCGACGCTTATACAATTGTAGAGGGATTTCGGCTCAGATACATCCGTTTTAATCAGAAGAACTTGAGAATTGAATTGTACAGCAGGCTATCCGACGCTGTGTTGTGCGGTGACACGGATCCTGGTTCTCAAGGAAAACAGATTATAATTCCGTCATCCTTTACGGGTGGCCCGAGATATATGATTCAGAACTATCAGGATGCGATGGCCATTTGTCGTTGGACCGGTTATCCTGACATTTTCATAACCTTCACTTGCAATTCGAAGTGGCCTGAAATCAGTCGTTTTCTTGCTGAGAAGAACCTCAACCCAGAGGATCGTCCTGATATAATTTGTCGGGTTTTTAAGACCAAGTTGGATGCATTGATGAGGGATGTTCGGCATAACAAGATGTTTGGAGATGTGAATGCAGGTATTTTTTCAAACTATTTTTTAATTGATTTATTTATAGTTTTTATTATATGTTTTGCATTGTATTATTTTTTACCTAAGTATGAATTTACTGCAGCAATCTACATGATTGAATTCCAGAAACGTGGCCTTCCGCATGCGCATATCTTGCTTTTCCTTGCTAAGGAATACAAGATACAGACTACTGATGGCATAGATAAAATAATTTCCGCAGAAATACCGGATGAGGCTACAGATCCATTTTACTATGCCGCCGTTAGAGATCATATGATGCACGGCCCCTGCGGAAGTGTTCGCTCGAAATCTCCGTGTATGGCGAACGATTGTTGCACAAAACATTTTCCTAAGAAGTTATCCGAAACCACGACTCTTGACGAAGAAGGCTATCCACGATACAGACGTCGTGATAATGGCAGGACCATGGAAAAGAATGGCATTCCCTTGGATAACAGATATGTTGTGCCTCATAACAGAAAATTGCTGCTGAAGTACGGCGCGCACATAAATATGGAGTGGTGTAACCAGTCGAGGTCGATCAAATATTTGTTCAAGTATGTGAACAAGGGGAACGATCGCGTTACTGCCACCTTCCATGCGTCCAATGGAGATGAGTCCTCAAGCAGGCCAGTTGACGAGGTGAAGATGTAATATGATTGTCGATACGTTTCCTCTTGTGAGGCTGCGTGGCGGTTGTTGGATTATGAGATTCAATACAAGCACCCATCAGTGGAGCGCTTGAATTTTCACCTCGAGAACGAGCATCCGTGCTACTATGACGATGAAGTTCCGATCGATGAAGTGGTTAAGAAAAATAAAAATGCCGGCAACAAATGTTTAGCTTGGATGGAAGCTAACAAGAAGTATCCCGAATCTAGGAAACTGACCTACGTTGAGGCTCCCACCAAATTTACGTGGCACTCGAAAACCAACAGTTGGGAGCCTAGAAAAGGAAGTGACCTTATTGCGCGTTTGTACTTCGTCCCCCCTGGTGCTGGTGACATATATTACTTGAGGTGTCTTCTCAACGTTGTTTGAGGTGCAACGTGCCATCGTGACTATATGAAGTTAGATAGAGTACAACACGATTCTTATCGTGACGCGTGTTATACCCTCGATCTGGTGGAGGACGACAAAGAGTACATTGAAGGGATCATCGAGGCAAGCCAGTGGTCGAGTGCCAATTCGTTGAGAAACCTTTTTGCTACATTGTTGTCTTCTGATACTCTCGGTCGACCGGAGTTCGTGTGGGAATCATGCTGGCCTTACTTATTGGATGATATATTATATAATCGTCGGAGGGTTTTACAACACCCACACAAACAAATTAATTACGGTCACATATTTATGTTTTTTTCTTTTTCTCTTATGTTTTTATATTTATAAACTTTCTATATTGTTGTTACAGAATTGGTTTTGAGCGATGATGAAGTAAAGAATCTGGCATTGGCGGAGGTTGAAAAAATTTTGCGTAGACGTGGTACGAGTCTTCGCGAATACGGTACAATGCCTTTTCCTAATCTCGATCGTAATGAGGCATCCACGAACAGACTGGTGATGGACGAGTTGAATTACGATCGTCGTGCACTCGCTATTGAGAATCAAGAGTTGGTTGCCAATATGACTGATGAGCAGCGCAATGTTTATGACTCGATAATGGACTCTGTTTACTGTACCTACGGCCGCATGTTTTTCGTTTATGGTTACGACGACACCGGAAAAACGTATGTCTGGAGGGCGTTGTCTTCTGCTTTGATATCCAAAGGTGAAATTGTGTTGAACGTTGCATCGAGCGGTATTGTGTCACTTTTGCTTCCCAGCGGACGTATTGCGCATTCACGATTCAGAATCCCACTAAACCCAGTGGAAGGCTCTACATGCGATATTAGCCAGCAGAGTCCTTTGGCCGAACTGATCATACGATGTCGGTTGATCATTTGGGATGACGCCCCGATGATGAACAAATATTGCTTCCAGGCGGTTGACAACACTTTGCGAGCCTTAATGGAAGCAGTTGATCCATCGAGGAAAAATCTCCCATTTGGCGGCAAGTGTGTTGTGTTAGGTGGGGATTTCAGACAGATACTGCCCGTTGTCCCTAAAGGTAGTCGAAGCGACATAGTTAATGCGACCATCAATTCATCCAAGTTGTGGCGCGATTGTATCGTTCTCAGACTGACTCGGAATATGAGGCTTCGAAGCCTTGGTGGGGGCGATGAGTACGATGAGTTGAGGAGCTTCTCTGAGTGGCTTGCAAACATCGGCGACGGTACAGTTGGTGAATCGAACGACGGTTGTGCCGATATCGACATCCCCGACGATATTTTTCTACACTCACAAGGGGATCCTATTGGTACTATTGTTGAGAGTACCCACCCGATGTTCAGAAGTGCATTTGATGATCTTAGCTATCTGAAGGACAGAGCCATACTCACCCCCACACTTGATGTGGTTGAGTCCGTTAACGAGTACATGAGCTCGCTGAACTCATCCTAGGGAAGGACTTATTTGAGTTCAGACACTGCGTGCAAGTCAGATGCTGGATATGATTCTCTTCAGGATCTTCACACTCCTGAATTCCTCAATGGGATCAAATGCTCTGGACTTCCGAATCATAAATTGCACCTTAAGGTCGGCACTCCAGTGATGCTTCTCAGAAACATAGATCACTCTATGGGGTTGTGCAACGGTACTGTTCATCAAAATTCTATCTATCATCTATATTTGTTTTTATCTTTGTACAAATTTTAGTGATATGTTTTTGTTTTCCGAACTTTGATGTCAACAGGTACACGATTGGTTATCACTAAGCTCAACAGCCATGTCCTCGAATGCAGGATTTTAACCGGCGCCAGAGCTGGTGACAAGGTTCTTATTCCTAGGCTCACAATCATACCATCCGATTTGAGGTTTCCGTTCAAATTTCAACACAGACAATTTCCGCTCATGGTTTCATGTGCTATGACTATCAACAAGAGTCAAGACTAGTCACTGTCCCACGTCGGCTTACTATTGAAGAACCCTGTATTTAGTCATGCACAGTTGTATGTGGCACTATCTAGAGTCACGAATCGGAGGGGTCTTAAAATAATGATTTGTGGTGATGGAAATTGCGACGAAGGGAAAACCACGAACGTTATATATAAAGAAGTATTTAATAATATTTAGATTTACATTTTGTTGCTTATCTTTTTTCTCAATGATCATGTTATGATTTTTACAATTGTATTTTTTTTTTATCACTCTATCATATAGCTTACCGTGCAAATGCACAGGTTATAAACTAGTCTTTGTTTGAGATGAATTCACACACAAACATCACACTGGAACTATGCACCATCAATTTTAGCATTTCATCAAATTATTGATTTTAGACAATGAATGAAATATGCAATGATGATTCAAATGTCAAATAGATATCCAGAAATATTTGTTCTTTTAAATTTTCAATGAGCAATCTATTATTTTTATTAATATTTATCTGCAAAATGGTGATGGAGGACTACTTAAAAAATTTAAAACAAACATAATCACAATTGATGACCATACTCAAATTCAAAGTAATTAGCAAGATATTAAGAAAAGAATAAAAGCCCAATAAAATCCCAATCACAAATTTCAAAGTAACAAAAGGCACCATTTGTGCAAAAAAAAAGCATGAAGTCAAATGAGAGTCTAAAAAAAAGGTACCACAGACTAAGAATCCATAACACAATCACCCTCTCTATTTCGAGTTGGTGAAGCTAAGACATCAGGCTAACACATAAGCCAACTTATATCACAGTTTATGTAAAAAAAACTTCAATTTACCATCCTTCCATTATAAAAGTCGACGCCATACCGGAAACCGAAGCTGGAAAAGCTCCCAAAATCATTTCGACGGTAAACATCCAATGCAGAAAACCAAAACAGCGCGAGAACTAACCAGCTCGTCCCCAGTGTCGAATAACACCTCAAAAGTAAAAAAGNAAAACAAACAAACTATAGTTTTTAGTTTAAAACATTAACAGATATAAAGAAAGACAAGTTTTGAATGTAACCCTTTTTTTAGTTTAAAACATTAACAGATATAAAAAAACAAACAAACTGGATTTGAGCTCCAGTTCAAATCCCAGTCCCGAAAAAGAGCCTAAATCTTACCCGGTTTAGGATTCACAAAAAACGAACCTCTTTTATTTCCTTTCTCCAAAACCACTCGATGAGAAAACATATGGTTTGTGTCTGTTAGGCTCAATTCGAATGGATCACGAACCTTTGCATGAAATCGAGGCATCCCATCATTCGGATCATAACGTGCCCAAATTTGATTCACTTCAAAGAGGCTCTCTTCACGAAGCTTGTCGAAATCATTGAATTCCGGATCTGCACCCTCGAAGTCGAGGCTCTCCATTTTCTTCTCGGCGATTTGCTTGGCGCGAATCGCCTCGTCTTTGTTGCACTCCATTAGTTGTGCGAGTTCTTGTTCGAAGACGAATATTAGAAGAACTTCTGCTCTGNAAAACTCTAGCGCGAACAAAAAGAGGGGGAAGTAAAAAACTTCTATTAATCATGAGTTAAGCATTATAGAAACAGTACAAGTGTTGTTCTATACATAGGAGAAGAGTATAACATTAAAAAATTCAATCTTAGAGAATCTCCAACTAGTTTCTCTATCTATACAGTTTCTACAGTAAAATTCTACTAGCTTTACAGTAGTTTCAACAGTGCCATCAACTCCAACCAATTCCCTCTATAATTCCCCTCGAAAAGAATATTACAAGCATATTCTTTTCTAATTTTATTAGTTTATTAAATAATCTCTACAAATTACATTTTAATACATTATGCTTGCTAAAATATACATATCTATGAATATATATTAATTATTGATTAATAAAATTAATTAATAAATTTAAATAAAAATTATAAAATTACACACTGCACCATAAAACCAAAATAACATTAATTTTTCCACAAACGTGGATTACATTAGAGACATTAATTTTTTTTTGAAAAAAAATCAACACAAACATGAAACATTCAATACAATAATAACTAAGTAAAACAAAATACAACACTAGTTATTGTCATGAGAATATTTTTCCCACAAATTTGCAACCAATGCATTACGAAGTTCATAGTGGGCAGACTTATCCTTGATTCGTTTGTGTCGAGCAAGAAATTGTTGAAAAGAGACGTGATCTCGCAGTGCTGGAGTAATCGTAGGAGCACCAAATTGAACATCACTTCTAATTGGCGCGCTAAGATCACGTTGCTCTTCGACATTCATATTGTGCAAAATAATACATGCTTTCATTATATCATTAAGCACCTCTTTTTCCAAAAACGAACAGGACCCGCGACGATTGCAAACCTTTTTTGCAGAACTCCAAATGCTCAACATCTTTTCTACATGCCTCTTGTCTCATTTTAAAGTATTCCTCCATTGGATTTGATGGTGCAAAAAAAGACTGAATAATAGTGGACTACTTTGGATATATACCATCTGCTAAATAATAGCCCATATTAAACTGTTTACCTTGAATGGTGTAATTAGCTGGTGGAGCGATACCTTTAGCAAGATTTGACATTAGAGGTGATGCTTCCAGCACATTAATGTCATTATTTGCACCTGGCATACCAAAATATGCGTGCCAAATCCATAGATCATAATCTTCCACAGCTTCCAAAATGATGAATACAGCTCCCAAAAACACAAGGATTTACCAGAACGCTCTATAAGGTCTCTTGACTCTCGTTACCGTCTCATGGAAACTCATTGTCGGAGGTTTAATGGATGCTTGAAGCAAATCGAATATCGCAATCATAGTGAGACACAAACCCAAGATAGGGTGAGTATTTTGTTTTAAGTTCAATATCTTTCATGTTATTTGCTTGTTTTATAGGTATACTTACAATTATATATTTTTTACTTAATTTGTAGATTGAGCAAGCCGAACGATTGTTTGAACAAGACCCAAAATATAAAGATGGCTTCAAGTTCCAACATGTGTTCCGACTATTCAAAGAGTTTGGAAAATTTGATGATAATGTCTCCCAACCACGATCTCGTCGCCAGGATTTCGATACACTCAATGACTCTTCTGAGTCCGACGTTCCATATGATGGACAACCAACACCAGAGTCTCCGGGATTGTCATCTTTTAGTCCTCAACAAAGTGACGATGGTGTTGGTGGAATATCCTCTCAACGTTCAATGGGAGCGAAGAAAGCCAAATTGAAGAAGAAACATGAAGACCAATTTTGCCAATATTTTCAAACTCTAAATGTTAAAAGTGATACTATTGTTGTGTTGTTGCAGAAATTCGAAGAACGTCAAAGTGTCCAACTTCAATTGCAGAAACAACAACTTGATTTGCAAAAAAGGAGGGACGAAGATAGAATTTTGATGATAGATTTGAATTCCCTTACAAATCCCATGATGATAGATAGAATTTAGTGCGCTATTTTACAAATTTTACGCCAAGAAAAAATTATCTCCAGTGTTAGCGCTAAATTATCACGCCACACTAGAGAAAAAATATACAGTGTTCGCGCTACTTTACACATTTTACGCCAGAAGAAAAAATTATTCCCCACTGCGCTAAATTATCACGCCACAATAGAGAAATATACATTGCTTTAGTTCTAGCGCACACATTTTACGCCAGAAGAAAAAATTATTCCTCTAAATTATCACGCCACAATAGAGAAATATACATTGTGCTAGTTCTAGCGCGGAACTGTTACCGCGCTACATTATTTTTCTTTTATTTATTTAATTTTTTTTATTTTATAGTAATAATTAATGTAATTTTTATGCTTTTTTTATATATATTTATGTATTATAATGTAATAATTTTGAAGTTTTTTTATATACATATTTATGTATTTTAATGTAATATTTATGTATTACTATGCTGTTTTTGGAGTTTTATATTTATTTTCTTTTCTACTTATGATGTATTTTACTATACTATTTTGATAAAATATATACTAATAAAAACATGAATACAATATTATTATAAATTTTTATATAAATTATTGGTAATTGACAACAATACAATATTATTAGAATTTTTCTCCACAGATTATTGATAATTTTTTTATAATGTGTATTAGTAGATACTGTGTTATTTAATTTTTAAACTAAGATATATAATATCAGAGGTGGACTACATGAGGTCCGGCCTCCCTCAATTTTTTTTAAAAATCATTATATATATATACAAATAAAAAAATATACTATAAAATATAAATAAAAATGTAAAAAATATGTAAGACTATATAAATAGTTAAAACTTATTTTCAAATGCTATTTTAGTTTAAAGTAATAATATTATTTATTTATTGAAAAGTATACTAGAAAAATTTGGGGATGAAAATTCCAAGTTCTTTCAGGCAGTAACCTCTTTGCTTTCCGAAGAAACCATATTGCTCAGCTGATACTGGATGATGGCACTTATGCAACAAATCATGAGACAAAAGCGAGTCTTCTATGGTCTTCTTTCAAAGACAGACTGGGTGTTTCTGAATATATGGTGAATCTGTTCAATCTTTTTTCGCCCAACTAAAACCTTGCTTTTTCTTGATCTTTTGTTTGCACGGGATTGCAAAATGGAATTCAATGGACCAAGAAGTTGAGATGAGATGGGCCAACCAATCTTTATATTTTACATTTCTGGATAAATTTTTCAAAATATTTATAATAATTTACTCTTTCGACCTCTGCATTGTAAATCAATTTAATGATTTATAGAACCTATAATTTAGTTGGATTGTTGTATTTTTGAATGTTGATCAATTTTATATTTGAATATTGATTACTTTGTTTTTTTTTTTTTATGTAAACACATATTTTCAACTTTTTTTATTTATTTACTAAAAAATTGGTCATTTGATAGGCTCTCATCAACAAAAATGTTATGCAATATACTGCAGAAGTTCAATTTAAATCAATTTTTCAACAAAAAAAAACTTATTTTTTCATAAATTATAGATCCTAAACTTAGATTATAAATACAGAAATCTCATTTTTTTTCTTAAAAAAATTTGAGGACGATACGGATTCTAAATTTTTAAAAACTTGATGATACACAGTTGTTTGCATATCATAGCTTCATTGAACAACTGAATATCTTGAAACCCTAGACCCCTTTTGCATTTAGGAAGTGTAAAAAAAACTCCATTTCTTCCAATGAATGCTTCTCTGCATATCCTCTCCCTTGCTCCACCAAAATTGACATAAACTAACAATCTCTTTGCATAGAGTAATTGGAAGCTTAAAGCAAGTCATTGCAAACACTGGAAGTGCCCCCAAAGCTGCTTTGATCATCACCTCCTTCCCTGCTGAGGACAACCACTTGTTCTTCCAATTTTGCAATTTATTTCTAACATCATTCAAAATAAAAGAGAATGCTTCAGTTTTAGATTGACCAATTCTCAAAGGTAGGCCAAGATACCTGGTTGAGGAGTGCACACTGATACCATGGAGGATGTCACAGACTCTCAGCTTAATGAACTCCGGGGCTTTTCTGCTAACAAAAATTGCAGACTTCTTCATATTAACTTGTTGCTTATTGGCTGATATTATTTTCAAAAGAAGTTGATCTCTCCACTTTTAGTCAATGTGGCTTCATCACTAACTCTCTCAGTGTAGTTCGAGGATGTTTTTATTTTTTTTTTTTTTTTTTTTAATGTTGAATTTTTTATTTGTTGTTAAATGTTTCTTTTTTGTCTGGAAAAGTCACACCGACCTCAAACGTGAATGACTTTGGATATGAGGAACCACTTTTCTCTTTTCATACCTAAATTCCTATTCATTTGTTGCCTTCCATACGCTTTCCTCATCTCATGTCAACTGGTGTATCATAATTTATTTGACTGCATATATGTTATCCATTTTTAAAAGGAAATTGTATCGGTATTAAGAGAAAATTATTATAAGTCTTTGTTTCTCAATGATGAGATATTATAAAATCTTAACACATCACTTGGACAGATATCTCTATCCCTTACAAAATTACAAAATAGGTTCCCGTACATTCTAAAAATTGAGATATTTGACGGCCCCTTGTAGTCAAACTAATTACAAAAAAAAAATAGTTTGTAAACCAATTAATAAGCGTGACTGGTTTTATGAAAAATTGGTCATCACAAAAAAAATATTTGACCAATTATCTTTGATTTTGAAAACTAAAAGTCGTGTTTTAACAATCCTGCGTGGGATCAATTTTTTGCCATATAATTTATTTATTTTATCAATGGTTTTAGATGCATTTGTGAGTATAAGTTCTTTTCGATAGTCTTTTGATGCAATTATGATCTATTTTCTTAAAATTTGGAATACTTTATTCAAACATAAATATTTTGGTATTATGGGTCGATTGTGCCTCGCACAACCGAGAGATCCCTAGTTTATCACATAAAATGAAGTATACTAATTAATGCCCTTATAGCATTAAC